TTATGATACATAATTTTAAGATTGTTATAAACTATAAGCATAGAATAATATAATACTAAGAATAAGTAAGAGTAATATAATAATAAGAGTAAGTCATAAGAATAAGATAATAATGAGAATAAGTAATTAGAATAAGATAAGAATAAGTAAGAATAAGATAGTTATATTTTAGCTAGTTTTGTTATGCATAGGGAGGGGGGAGATGTTGCAGATAGATAGGGTCCGGCGGCCGGAAGATATCGCGCTGTACGGAAAGATAGGGCCCCTAATAGCCAATAGTGTTTAGTCTATGATGTAAGCAGGCGGATGTGACGTTGTAAACCTTAGCTATATAACACCTTGTTATCCATCAATAAACGCCATTTGCAGCATCCTCATATTGGTGTCTGTGCTCTTTGGCCCAGGCACAGTTCGGGTGTGCCTGGCCGCCTCAGCGGACGGAGTCGATTGCCAATGTCAGGCAACAGGGGGGGGAGGCTCAAATCTGCTTTCCTCCTTACATTCTCCAACTGTGCTCAAGAAATGTGAGCCACTGAGGGGAGAAATCTGAGTACCAAATACTAATCTAGGGAATTAAGAGGTTATGTTTTATAAAATAAACAAAATGTACTGGAAATTCCCTATTATTCTTTAACTTGACAAATCATCACAATTCAAGTACTTTCTTCACCCTTTAATCTCTGAATGCAAATACCACATAATTCAAAGAAACTTTGAGTATAGATTTTAGGAAGTAGTTGGTGAGACATATCGGAACTTTGTCTCTCTAGAGAGATTGTCCAAAAGAAACTTTGGTATCTATTTCATTGTTTCACATATTCAATATGATTATGATTTCTATTGGGTATGAAACTGAGTGAAATCTTACATATTAAGGTATATAATATAATACACTCAGTAACAACAATAAAAAAAAGATACAAATGGAGGGAGGAAAGATTAGGAGGAGTTCTCCTCTGTCAATTTCTTCATGCAGTTGGCTTATTTTATTCACTGGCTTATCTTAGTCCTTTCCAGTGACTTGAAACAGTCAAGTTATATCTAATGAAGAGTCTTGCAAGGAAACCACACAATCTACAACACATTTATTTAATTCCCTTTCCACGCTCATCAGTTATATAGTAATATGAGATTGAGTCTCTAAGAAAAGCTGCAAAAACTTCATCAAAGAGACCAAATAAATAGGAAGGTATTTCATCCTTCTCCATAGCCCTCACCACTGTGTGCAACTCCTGGGACTCCTGGATGGTGGTGCTGGGGAAAAGTGTTCAGTCTTGGTGAAGAATCCTGGGGAGATGTAGGACTAACAAAGGCTTTTCAGGTTTCTTCATTGTAAGAGAAGGCATATCTGAAATGGAAGGACAGTGTAACATTTAAATTACCCTAGAAGCCTGGTGTTACACTTCAGGACAAATAATTTTGTAAACTGAAAATATTTATGTTTACAGGTCTTTTTATAAAATCTTGTTTAGCCAGCCAACTATTTCTTTCCAACACATGAATGAATATTATTCCTCTGCTCTGTCAAAAAGAAAACACAAACCTACATCCTTTTCATACCAGCGTAGCCAAACAGTAAGCCTTACAGAACATCACAACATTATCTGCTCCTTAAACAGCAACATATTCTTTATTGCACTTTTTAATGGAACATCTACAGTCAAGTATGTAGGATAATTGTCATACACATTCCATTTTATGGTATTTATATTTTCCAATGTATGTACCATAAAAACCTTATTATTGGGCAAAATGAATATTTTGGGAATTAATATCCTGAAAGGAGAGTCTTGGATAAAGAACTAAGGCTAATGGGAAATTGGCACTCCTTCAGTTACAGGAAAAACTAATCTCCGCATGATTAAGCCTATTAATCTCCTACAAATAGCCCCACTCCTGCCTAACAGCAAACCAGTTAACATTCCTCAGTTTAAGCTACCTGCTCCTGCCATAAAACCTGTGACAGAATTAGTCAAATAATTAGAGCAACAAGGTATTATTGAAAAAAAATATTCACCATATAACAGCCCAATACAGCCTGTTAAAAAAACAGATGGGACATGGCACCTGACTATTGACTATAGGGATTTAAATAGAGCAACTGGCTCTTTAACAGGTGCTGTTCCTAGCATAATAGATATAGTTAATACAATACATGAACGTGCCTTTCCTTGGATGGGGGTGTTAGATATAAAAGATATGTTCTTTATGAACCCGAAACAAAAGCAAAATAAACCAAAGTTTGCTTTTACTTGGAGTGGAATACAATACACCTTTAATCATCTACCCCAAATTATTAAACATGATATTATAGCTAAGGAATTAGAATCAATCATCCTCCCACCTGAAGCAATTATTTTACAGTATATAGATTATATTCTAATCAGAGGACCAGATGAGAAAATGGACGCTATTGTCCAGCACTTACAAGAATTAAATACTAGCATTCCTGACTCAAAACAGCAAGGACAAAATCAAGAGGTTATATTTTTAGGTACTCGATGGATAGGAGGATAGGAAACTGCCAGAACCTGTATTAACAAAGACACAAAATATCCCAGCACCTTTTGATGAAATATATATATATATGCTTTATTATGAACTTTCAGGTTTTGGAGGTCACACACACCTGGATTCAGTATTCTGTTAAGAAAGAGGTTTGTGGCTATTATAACCCTAGCATTTTGCTGTCTCATGGTCAACTTCTTGTCCACCAGGACTCCCGGGTCCTTCACTGGAGAGCTGCTCTACAGTAGGTCAATGACCAGCTTGTCCTGGAGGGTAATTCCTCCCTAGGTGCAGGACCCTGCACTTGCCTTTTTGTTGAACTTCATGAGGTTCCTCTCTGTCCATCTCTCCAGCTTGTCCAGGTCCATCTCAATGGCAGCAGAGCCATCAGGTGTATCAGCCACTCCTCCTATCTTTGTATTGTCTACAGACTTGCTGAGTGTACACTCTGCCATATCATTCAGGTTTTTAATGAAGATGTTAAATGGTATTGGCCCAAGTATCGACCAGTGGGGGACATCACTAGTGACTGGACTCCAGCTGGAAGATGCACCTCATTGTATCCTAAGGGCCCCTTAAATCTGCTAGAGTTATGTCCTTATCTCAGCTGTGCTAACCTTGTATAGCTACTGTCCAGGAAGCAGTTACGAAATGGAATAGGCCTGCCTGGCCCTGATGGGAATTTGGTCAGTGTGTAGAGGGCACATGTTGGGGCTGCTACCATGTATTCTGCCAGTCACTGACTCCTCAACAGGTCTTCTACAGGTGTCCTCACTACAGGCCCTCATACAAAATAATACTTATCTTACATTTTATGATATACTAAGGACCTGATCAGTAACAAGTACACTAATAAAACATCTGTTCAATAACATTTGAATAGACCAATTACATATAGTGAATACCAAGTGAAATATTGCTTCAAATTTCCAGTACAGGACATTAAAATTTTACCATTGACTTCAGTCAAAGGTTGTTCAGGGCCACTGCCAAGTTAAAGGATTATAACATATTATACGGTTCTTCAAAGAAAATAGGTAAGGAGTATCCAGCACATGGGGAGAAAGAAAAGGGGGGCAAGTTTTCAGCAAAGGGGGCCTTGGATCTGAGAGCGGACAGTCCAGCAGCACCTGAGCAATGAACAGGTGGAGGGGGTCCAGTTGTTTAGGTTTAATGGTATGTTGGCATCTTGACTCTTGACTGTTGACAGATGTGGGTGAGGTATAGGAGACTGAACATGAAGAAACTGTAAAAATAAAATTCACTTCATTGTATATCAACATTCAATATTGTTAAACACTACAGAATTCCGCATAAGTCCCTTTGCTTTTACCATGAAAATATGGATTCCTGATAATGCCTGCTTTTTTGTTTACAGCATACACAATGTTGTAATACTACAACAGTAAATTAGTTCTCAAGAATGACTACTGAATTTGCCTGTTACTATGTTAATGTATTTTTCTAAACTAGCTTTTAGAAGGGAAGGCATATGTATATATTGCACTCAACTCTTAAGATATTCCTGTTTGGTTTCAGTTAAGACAGAAGTCTCACTTACCAGATAATAAATCAAAATGTTCATCAACAGTTTGTTACCTATCAATCAGCTACAAAAGATAACACTTCTCCATGGTACTAATAGCTTGTTTGTAACATTTTTAATGCAACTCTCTTTTCCGATTATGAGAGGCTTTTTATCACATTAAATTGTATTCTGCTCAGAATTTCAAAAATAATCTGCAAGTTTAATTGTGCATCAATTTCAATCTGTTTCAAAATATTATTATTGACTGCAGGAAATCAATTTTGTTTGACATGGAAACACATTCAGAATTCTTCAATGGCAGTCTGGGAAAACTAAGTTTTACAGCACACAGCTTTTTTAGATCTGGATATATTTTCAATTGGCAAATATGTACCTAATACATGATCCAGGCACTACAGAAATCAATAAGACATTCAAACAGAAAAACTAACGTAAAGGAGAAAACAAATAGCTTGTACAAGGCCTGACAGCAGGAACAGAACCTTCACTCCTAAATGTCAATTTAGGGCTAAGTTATAACTAAGTTATAAACCTTGCTATTACATAGCTTCTGTTTTGATTAGGCTTGGAGATTTTTTGGAGTGTTAGCTATTTGGAAGGTTTATAATAGTATCTTAGGATCAATATTTGCAATTATAATTACATGCCTTTTTATTTTTTGAAATATATGGTAACTGTAGGAAGGAGAGTTCATATTTGTTTCTTAAAAATCGTGTGAATAGTATATATTTTTAAATATTTTTAATGTAGCAGCAAGAATAGCACCACAATCTCCCTACAATAATTAACTGTATATATTCTCAAGAAGAAAAGACTGTAAGACAATGAGAACAATAAAAATCTCTGGTTTAGAAACTGCTACCCAACTTCCAGTAATTATACATATATCTTTATAGTATTCCCAAACATTCCCAAGCCAATAAAGTAAAACACCAAGGCAGTACAGTGTCTTCATAAGCTTTTTCTTTCTTCCATAAATATTTATTTGCCTTTATTGAAGCCAGATTATAGAAATTACTTTTGAATGCTATATTGATTTTTAAAAATAGACACATTTTTATCTCACAAATGTACAGTCTCTCGTTCTAATTCGAAGCAGCTGACTGATAGAAATAATAGACTATGTTTAGGACAGCGTTTATAACAGTGTTAGAGCATAGGAAAATAAAACTAGTGGTCATTATCAATCATATGTGTTTTGGATTTGGCTAACCTAATGCCATTTAGATTTTCCATTTTTCCAGGTACGCTTACTTATTTTTACTCTGAATTATATCTGCATACACCCAACTTTCCCAAAATAATCTATAAAATGAAAACATCTTGGAAGCATTATCAAAACCTATTCAGAAGTAGTACTGTTGCAGGATTAGGATGGGAGGAAGCTTATCAGTAGAGCAGACAGAGCAGGCGGTTAGCATTCTTTAACCAAGGACAACCTGGAGCTGCTTATTAAAATGAGAATGTTTTTTAACACTTTGCAAACTTGGCAAGAAAACCCAAGGTCCATGTCTCCTTAAGTGAACTGCCTTCATTATAATGCTAAAAATCACGCCCATCAGTCAAAAAGACCCTTGCCCTGGTGAAGACACTTCCCCTGAGCATGTGCAATAGCAGGCACAATGAGTAAGCAAAATTATAATTGTATGAAAATTAATAACCAATCAGTGTAAGAGGGATGTACTTGGGATAATTACTGAGTATGTAAATATAGTTTGGAAAGTTGGGAGTGTGCTCAATTTGTGAGAAATCACAGAGAACCCAGCCTTGTGAAACTCCAAAATAAACAAGCAAATCTCTCTCCTGAGTGTGTGATTATTGACTCATTGAACACTGGGCAGCAAATTTGCTTTTTGGACAACAGCATGACAGAAAGAGTTCTGTTAAATGTAAAAGGTCAAAGGTCAAAGCCTGGATTTTTATAGCTAATAAGTAGAGTGTGATACGAGGAAAATTTTACTGAACCCAAAGAGAGACAAAGACTGTAGTTACAGTCCAAAATTCTAACTACCCAATGGCAAAGGGTTCTCTGTAAAATTACTTAAGCAATCCACACAATAAAATTGTTTGTTACTATTAAAATGAAGAAGGCTGGTAAAAAGCAAACAAGCTAAGAGTCTATTCACAAAGTATAGTTTTTAGCAGCAAAAAAATGACCAGTGAATAATAAGGAATTTAGATAGTTGGAGACTGCAGAGATCAACTGTAAAAATCTGGCTCAGCAGAACTGGGACTCAGGCAGCCCAAGAGGCATTGCATTCTGAGAATCCCTTACAGCTCACTCAGCAGCACAACAGGACTACATTCCACAAGTGGGGATATGCAGAGACCACTTCTGAGAAGAGCACTGGGACTATTTTTCCCCCACAAACAATAACAAAAAAGTATTTAAAAAACAAAAAAAGAGCTGAGGTACAATATTGTTTCACATGAAAAATGGCAATAGACATATCATGGCAAAACAGACCACATTCATAAAGGAGAATGTTCGTACTAAGGATACCTTCTGGGGGCTGAAAAGCAATTCTATTGCCGTGCTGTTCTTATGTCACAGGCTAGATTTTTTAAGATCAGCAGATAATGCTGGAAACAGATTAAAAAAAAAAGAAAAAAGAAAATACAATAGACCCATGAGAAGGAATGTATAGAAAAATGAAGGAAACAAACAAACAAATCCAGTCTCTTGAAACAACTTTATGAGAGAGGAAGTTAACAAAAAGACAGACTAATGATGAGAATATAAAAGAATTCCTTCCATATTCAACTCATGAAACACAGAGTTAGAATATAAAGGCAAGGAGAAACAGATTAAAAAGAGACTAAGTATCACTAAAATAAATGAAAATAAAATACAGTTAAATTAAATTTCTGAGCACATGTTACCATGCACACAAAGATAAAAGAGAACATCTAAAGGCAGAAAAGTACAAGTAAAAAAACCCTAAGGCAACATAAACAGCAAGAGCACCCCAAAGAGTCAGTCAAAACCAAAGAGGTGAGAGGAGTGCATCCAGAGGAAGGCGAACATCATGAAGAGCAGCAAAGAAAGGAACTACATGTCTTTTGCTCTGTTTCCCTTTTACATGCCAAACTGCATATTTTATAGATTTTACAAAAAAAAAACCTACAGAGCCTCAAACAGAAGACCCACTAAACAACACAGTGTACAAATGCCTATATGTTGGAATATTCTTTCACATCACAAAGAGAAGGGAAAAGTCTACACTGACATTAAGGTTCATGAAACATCAATGTAATATCAGAGAAAGTTATGAAAATTAAATTTACTTTTGGCAATCATAATTTTCTTCTCCAAACAAACTTGCTTCTGATTACCCAAAATGGAAATATATATTAACACACCTTAGCATTCAAATGTAGTCTCTCAGAGCTACATGAAGGCTCTTTAGAGAAAGTTAGAGAAAGCTCAAAATATTTTACTCACAATCCCACTGCAACATTCTTTTATAAAGTATAGGCAATATAGATTATTTCATTTGCAATAAATATTTTGATAACAATATCGCAGTCAACCAGGTGGAAAAAGCTATGTGTCTGTTCATGCTATGCACCTTTGATTGTTGTTTTTTTAATTATATTTTTTAAAAATCAACAAATATATACTACATAGAAAATACATGATTCCTTTAAAAAAGCATTATTTAAAAGCAACATTTATTGCAACGACTGAAAAGGTAGATGTGAAGAATTATTATATGTTTCAAAACTTTGGGATTAATTTGCCCCATATTACTCACCTTGATCTCTTTCATGCCATGTCCGATTCCCAGGAGCTGGTGAATTTGGTGAAGGATAAAAGTCTCCTGTTGGGCTTGGTTCCATATTCTCATCTATAGAAATACTTCTGAAACATTTGCTGTTGAAATAATGAAAGATTTGGTAGTAAATATGATATGCAGCTAGTAGTGGTACATTTGAATTTCAACAAGTATTTCAACAGAAAGTACTTCAGGCATAAAAAGCAAAAGTTGCAAATTTCAAATCTGATGTATTAAAATATTGCATATGCTATATAATAATGTCTAATGTAGGTGTGTGCTTACATTTTTCATATGTCCTTACAGTTTGGATATGGCATGAATGGATGGTATGCAAAATCCCTATTAGGTTCTAAATCTACCAGCATTCAGTTGCACAACCAAGGATCCAATTCCTGTTACCTGCTATAAAAATGTTGTATCATGAAAATGTTAAACACTGCAGAAAATCAATGAAAACAAAATAAAGCATTGAAGGGATCTTAATAATAAAGTCAGTCAGGCATGACTGGAACTTTTCCAAATGTGTCAATAAGGGAAAAAACAGTATATACTGAAGATGCTAAGCAGACTGCTAAAAGGATGAAGGATTTAGTGTATTTTTTGTAATCAAACAATGCTGTGAGCATGAATCTGTCCTTCTTTAAGCACACTAGGTAAACTGTAAAGCTGAAAATAGTGGAGTTAAATCCAGAGATGTGGGCTTAATAAACACTAAATGCTGGTGGAAGAATACTCTAGCCCTGTTAAAAATATATTTAAAAAAAAAAAAAAAACTGTTTCACTACTCAAATACTTCCTGGTTCACTGAAGGTGCAGAATCCTGCAGTATGAGAGATTCCATAGTATTTGTAATATTATGGTATTATAGGATAGCTTTAGAAAACAAAGGGATTTCAAGGAGTAACAACACATCATGCTAGATTTGGAATGAGAGCAGATAGCAGATTCTTCAGCTCTATCGTATTGCTTGCCTCTCTTGAGAGTATGAAAGGAATGTTTCTCAGAATCTGGAAGAAGGTGGGGGAAAGAGAGAGCAGAGCATGCTGAAGCAGGGAAGTGGCCTCTTGAGGCCAAATCTTGCTCTATCAGGCACGCAGAGAACCTCAAAAATGGTAATAAGAGTTTGAAGAGTTTACCTATCTTACATGTTTCTCCTGTTCTCCACTCTGTTGGGTGTACTTGCCCTTAAAGGGGAAGCAGTGGTGGTGCTATGAATATAGACCCCTTGCGGTTCGACCTGTTTGCTTAATGTGCCCTAAAACCTATTCCACAGGAAAGAATATCAGTTCTCACATAACAGTCAAGAAGGAAATCCAAGAAGGAGCTCTCAAAGACAACTTTTGTGCATAAAATTAGCTAGTAGCATTAAACACTTCTAGTATTCTCCAAGCCATAAGATCTCTTTGTTACTGAGTAGCAGTTTAAGGGCATGTAATACTCTTTTTTTTTACTCTTTTTTAATAGATCATTAGTAACCTTTTCAAAACCTGACAGAAGGGTTATCTGTGATATCAATGTTAATAACACACAGTTATGTCACCATTTCAAATTATAGGAAGATGTGGGTTTTTCCCTTAAGTTACTTATCTATATATGATAGACTATATAAATATCCTACTTGACAAAATCCATGAAAAATCAGAAAACATTATGCTGTTGATAGCATTTGTGGATTGCTTTTCTCATACCATTAATGTCAGCTTTGTATCAGTATTTATTTCATGTTTTTACCTGCTTGGTGGAGAGGATAGTGACCTATGTAGGTTTACACCTGAGTTCATGTCATGGTAATATGGTTGGCTCAGAAGTTCTCCAATTGGGAAGTTCATACCAGTTCCCTGGGTTATAGTTGCTGAAAAACACATCACTAAGAGTCAAAGATAATCTCTAATCTTTTTACCATTTTAACTTTAAGCACTGGAAAACAACATGATGTTACTGTATATATCTATTTTTCTGCCTCCTGCAGAAATCAAGTTCTATCAATGTTTAAATATCTTAAAAATGAATTTGCTCCTCACCATCCCTAGAAATCCCTTAATAATTATGCAGACTTAACATACATATCTATTGTCTCAATAATTGTCTCACTGTGAAGAAGTGACAAAAAATGATACAAAGATAAGCCTTCTGTAAAAGGACAGTTACAAAATGAGGCAAGGTTTATAGGGAGAGCTAATGTCCTTTATTAGAGCAAATAATATAACTGGAGGCAACATTTTTGGAGACACAGAAACTCATTCACGTATGCATTAGTGTTTTCTTATTTGTATTAAAAGTGGATTTCTGCACTGAGACCATATTGTAGTGCTTCCTTTTTCTTTCACCCAATGACAGAGATGCTCTTTGTTTATGTACACCTACACACAAACACACATATTCCATTGTGGCCTGAGGTTAAAAAAATGCATGGATAAAAAGTATGTTACATGCAAAGGTCAGCAGTAGAAGGCATGATTTCTTAACGTACTCTACAATACTGATTCTTTTTTAAATGACCAAATACTTTAAAATGTATTTAAACATCTGTCAACTACAAGTAAACCTGAATTTCACATATGCAAATCCTCAACTTCTTCAAAATGGCAAAACTACACCTTGAGCAAACACACACACACACACACACACACAAAACATCATGTTTTAATACTGCAGGACCATGATGTTCAATATTTTGTTGCATCAAAAAAAGAAAAAATAATAATTGTTAAATGTTAAATGTTAAATGAGATTTACACCTTAAGCCTTGCTAAATTAACTACATTTCTTAAGCATCCTGTCCTAGTATAAATTAGCTCCCATGTAAGATGTAGGACAGATATATTTGGAGAGTTCTGTCTCATTTTTGTTCTTGCCCTCATCCAATCATGAAAGAGGTTTTCCTGGACCATTCCACTGTCATCATCTTGGCAATATATTATGTCATCACTAAAATATGCATTATTTTATGTCATAGCATCACTTTAAATTCTTAGATGTCAACAAAACAGATCTTCCATTTATATTCATTAAACATACAACATTGAACTTTTTATCTACAACAAAAACTTTACCTGAACTTTGATATTTATAACTAATGATGTCTTTTGTGTTTTTGCGTGTGCTGGCGTTAATATTCTTTCCAATCCCCAAACAAATTACTGCAATTAAAACCTCAATTATTACAGCAAGTGCTCTAAATAGAATAGACTAGCTTATAATACATTAGTCATCTTCCCTATCCTTGCTATGATGTAATTTTTCTTTTAGAGCTATGAATTAGAAAGAAAACTAAGATAAAAGAATAATCAGATGGCTTGCAGAATTCAAGGATGTGCAGAATAACCAGAAAAAGTTGAAATCCCAAAAAATAAATTTACTGGAGGTAATGAAACCTATTATTGTCATATCAGTCCATGCAATCATGCATGAGAATATGATTTTCTCTTTAGATAAGAGACTCCATTCCATATTTGAAGAGACCAAGAAAGCCTTCTGTTATAAATGCATGTAAGATAAATTGTAATATTGTACTCAAAGTTATCAGAATTCTGCATAACATTATGCATTTTCTACCCATCTTTGGGCCCAAGGCAAACTCCATTCATGTTAATAGAAAACCCTCACTCTGTTTTAGCAGTCTTTGGATAAAGCTCTTAGCATGTGGTAAATAATTAAATATAATTGGTAACTTACTTCTGGATGCCCTCACAAGTTGCAACACATTGAACACTCCAGATTTTAAAAAACTATCTTCAAGGTACACTGAAAAAAGATCACAACAGCATAATTGGTATAATTAGAAAACAAATAAATAAATATACAAAAATACATGGAGCATCTAACAATATAAACATAGAAAGTTCAAAAAATAGATCAAAATATACCTAAAGCAGATCACAGGATGAAACAAGAACGAAAATTCAGACAGAGGTTTAAAAGAATTTGAGAGTCTGTAGGAAAAAAAAAAGATTCCTTAATATGTCCATGAAAATTAGCAAGCAGTATAATGAGTTTCTAGTTAGCCATATAAAAACAATATAAAAGTCAGTTCCTTTATTTTCCTTTTCAATTTTTATGTCAGTATTAAGCTAAGAGCACTATCAACTGGAGAAAGCAATTTCATTATAGGATGGTCAGTAATCGATTTCTGCTGAACAGCTTTTTGGCTTAACTTTTGCCCTGTTGGTAGTGACTTCACATTATCTCCTGTTTTTTATTTTGTTTACTTACATGCTGAAATATATATATTTAGCAATTTACAGTTAGGCAATCAGGTTTTAGTAGTTAACAATTTACTATTCTGATATCTCCTTATGTATTCTGAGACAAGCAGATGTGATTTACTTTCCCTGCCACAGAAATTCAGACACACTTTGGAGCAGTGCAGTGAAGATAATTTCATTATCAGCTATCCTAGTAATGTAGCTACATACCATTTATATAGACAATTGAGAAACCAAGGCTTCCATGGAAGTCTCCTATCTGTAATTATTATATAAACTCATTTGGCTAAATTGGAGATTACATGACATAAATATGAACGCAATATATTTATCTTTAGAATTATTGGGATCTATATGTTGTATACATCACTGCTCCACTGCTCTTTGCTTTTACAAAGAGGATACTCACATATGGTATGCATGTGTGATGCGCACTGAGCATTGCTTACTGTGGTTTGTATAAAGTAAAATATAATCTCTTTTCTCATTTAACAGTTAATTTTTGTTTTGGAAATTATCAAAATTTATATTCCAAATGTTTGAATCAGTAGTACTAGCATCATAAATACGCAAATAAAAATGTAAATGCACCTACTAGAATATTTATGAATATGGAAAAGATGATGTCCTGATACTTTTTTCTTAAAGTATATTTTAGCAACTAGTATTTTATCTTCAAATAATTTAGCAGAATAGTGTCACTAAAATCAGATAAGTGACTGTAAGAAAGTACATTTCACTTATGAGATATGTCCTCAGGTATATTAACAAGCGTTAATGAAACTACAATTCATTGCCAATCCAAAAGAGCTAATAAAATCACTGTTTACCCAGATTTCACTTACTAGTGCAAAATACATTGCTGACTAATTATGTTCTCTTTAATTATTAACAGTAGTAACTTTGTTTGGAAAGCAGGTTAGACTGCATATATCGTGGAACTCATATTTACCTGGTGGATTCTTGGCAGGATCATTGTGTCTCGGACTTCCCGATCGTCCAGATTCTATAAAGAAATCAAAGAAGAACAAACAGTAAAATAACTATAATAAAATTAAAAAGTAAAAAAATAAAAATAGCATTAAAAGTAATATAATAATAATCTAACAACTAATTCTGTTACATCGACTTCATTCAACAGTGAACCCCCCTGGACTTCAATTTCTCTTCTTGATTCATCAGGCACGTGTAATATAAGAATTTTATACTCTACAGTTGTGAAAAACTATTCACAAAATAAGATGTGATAGCAAGTCTTATATACAAAGAAAATAGGAAATTGGAAGAACTATGACCATTTTTTTTTATATTGCAAGCTAAAAATCCATCAATTTCATAACCCAAATAAAAAAAATGCTTGCCATCATACAAATACACTCTTATTCTTTGCTAGACTTGCAATTTGGATATAGGGGATATAGGGGAGGATGAAGGAAGACTTGACACTATACAAGTATCACTTTGATGCTGTTCAAGTCTCCGTATACCTGTCAGGGGATTTACTCCCTCCCAAACTGTCATCTTTCAGTGTTACATCATAGCAAATTTGAGTCTAGTTGTTGTACCAGTGTAAAGACCACTCCAAATGCAACTGTTCACCTTTCAAAGCCTGACAGCTCAGAACATTATTGCTATAGTTTTACTACCATGACAAAGAAGCAAAACACTTTCTCCCCTCCAAAAAATATGATCTGCAAAAATAGAAAGAACTAAAAAAAATACACTCTTCCATCTGTGTATTTGTAAAGATTGCTGTTAATTATTATTTTCCTAATTTTACTATTCACTTGCCTTCTAGTACCTATGGTATTTTATTCTGAAAAAAAAAAAAAAAAAAAACAGATTGGATTGATAGCTTTTCCAGTGACTTTTACTAAATTAATTTTGCAAAAACAACTTTAGTCTTTAAGTCTAGATCTGATAACCTTAAATTATCACACAATTTTCATTCTATGTGCATTATCCTCACCAACACTAGTGATATTGGAATTTTGTTGTCAAGATGCAGCAAGGGGCTGCTACTCCTTAAGGGGTGGGGAGCCAGAGGTCGAGTGTGATAATGTGGCCAGCAGGGCAGGGGCCTCTCCAGCCAGGGCCCAATCCCACAGTACCCGAGCAAGGTGAGCAGAGCAGACCCAGAGACAGTAGCCAAGTTCGACCAAGATTCCAGATCATCAGGCAAGCTAGTGGTGATGAGGCAGGTCTGAGGTCAAGCTGGGAAGTCAGTCTGCAAGTCAGGGTCAGGATGGTCATGATGTGGCCTTATGGAAAAGCAAAGGAATTTTGCCACTGACTCCTACACAGCCAGCATTTCATTTCTGTTAGCATTTTGGGTCAGTCAATCAATAATGATATGCCCATGAAAAAATCACTGTTGTTCACTATGGGTCTGACCCAAGTGAAGGTTGTTGAAATCAGTGCCCAGACTCTTAGTTGCTTCAGTGGGCTTTGGATAAGGAGCTTTATGGGAAATTACTGATAGCTGAGAAGCACAAAAGAAAGCACTGTTTAACAGAAACTGTCAGGTAAACTGCATTTTTTTGACTGAAATAACTACATTGTATCTTCCATTAAAACATAGTATTAAAAGCTAGGTTTCTCAACCTTTCAGAATACAATCATAACACTTTGCAAGTCTATAACATCATCTAACCAAGGACCACATAGTAGTTTACAAATACTAATTAACAGAGGCTTGCAAGAGCTCTATGAGATAATATTCTATAGAAATCAATCTCCTAAAACAGTAAGTATGCCATGGCACAATAAGCTAATTAGAAGAAATAAACAGCAATTAAATTACAATGCTGTTTTTTATGCACCATAAGAAATCCAAGATTAGACTGGAACATACTTTTCTTGAACATTTCAGTGTTGAGTGTTTCTTCAAGCCAGCATCAGACAATACTGACTTTGCCCCTAAGAATAAGTATGTTTAGGAGCTCAAAACAAAATAAAGGTTTTCTTTAAAAAATTAAGATTGGACAAACACAGTCTTTTTCATGGCTATATTTTTTTCTGACTTTTATATTTGAAAGAATAAATTTTCCATATTTCCTTCCAGTCAAGATTTGTTGTTTTGCTAAAATATTGATTCAGTCATTTTCAAGAAAAAACACACATTTCCCATTATTTAAAAATTTACAAAAAAAGAAAAGATTATACATTACTTTGCCTGTCTATATCCCCATATGGGGGGAGAGGGGGATTGCATAGCTGCTAAACATGGAAACACATTCAAATGTAATGTTTTTATACTAATTATTTTCATATAACTTTGTGTGGTTGCATGTAGTGTGCCTCTTGATGATTCCAACACCCTATTGGGGGACTGATCCACCTGCTCCAGAACACCTGTGAGACAAGAGCAGATGTTGCCACAACATGGGCTCATCAGATTGGAGTCAGTCACTGCAATTAAGCTGGGAGATGGGCAAACTGCTGCACTCACAGGAAGTTTGAGATATTGCTGTATACTCATCATATTAACCACATAACCATATTATAGTGTCAACACAATCCAAGGGGTGGAATATCATAGACTAAAGCCTACCCGAAAGCACCATCCAGATGAAAAGGCCTCACAAAAAAAAGTTAAAATTAAGAAGTGAAACCTTTAACTCTATAGACCTGAAGTATTGTGCAATAGAATACAGCAAGTAAATGAATTAATCAGACTATATGTTCCATATGCAAAGTATTACCCCATAAAATAAATGTATCTCTACCTTTTTGCATCTGGAAATAAATTACCAATCCTAACTTAATGTAGTATGTCCAAGCCTGAGTGATACCCATAGTCTGTTAACCAAATGACTGCATCATTACAATATCTAAATAGTCTAGATGCAGATGCAAGGGGTGGATTATGTTGTAGGTGAAAAGATATCTTGAATTGTGAATGTTAATAGGTGGCAAATAACTGGGTTTATGTGTGTGGGTGAATGTCCGAAACTGAACTTTTGAACTCTCAAGCAAAAGCCCACTACTTTCTAGCAGGATATAAATTTTGATAACACCTAGACTAAACAAAAGTGTCATGTCCTGAATCCTCCAGTTAGTAAAGAGAAATGAAACAGAACCACCAATTAGGAGGCTGATCACACACTGTGCTTCTGCACATAGACTGTTTAGACTGGGAAAATTGTGGGTTCTGGAAAGAAGAGCTAGTCCTGTAAAGAAGAGTTCCCATAAAGAATTGGTCTCAGAAAGAAGAGGAGCCAGAAAGAAGACGGTGAGGATCCTGGTTGGAGGAAAGATCTTGGAAGTGGGAAAAGATCCTGGAGATCAGGCATGGAGACAAATGCCAGGGGATACCCAGGAACCTTGGCCGGCAATGCCTACAACTGGTAACTACGAGCAGTTGCACAGCACAAACTGACACAACTTTCTGCCATTCTTCCCTGCCAACCAGCAGCAATCTCCCTGCTGGGAAGGAAGTTGAGACCTAGTGAATGCTGGGGTAGGGAATGAGTGAGTATGTGAGATAATCAAGTAGGCTAAGTTCTTAAATAAACCCTGCTATCCACAGATCCACCATGGGTAGTCATTTACTTTGTCTTGCACATGATGGAGTTAAGCACATAAATCCCTTGTGTGTTGCTGGAAGAATACTTTCATGAAAGGTTTTCTTACAGAAATATTTTAGATGTTTTCTAAAGACTTTATGGCAAAAAAAAAGTTACTTATATCCTATACCCACCCTCATCAGGGAACAATACAATACCATTCATTTTGTGTCCATGTGCACTAACACGTACACGAGCCTGTTAAAGATTCAGCTTGACATCTTTTTAGGTGTGTTTGAGCACTTGTAATTCCATATATGCACAGTAAATACCCAGGAAAAGCTGACCACTACTTTTCATTTTTCCTGGATAACTAACTGGTTTAAACTCAATTGACCTGAAGGAGTTAGAACAGACATAGCTCCTTGCACAAGAACTAGGGTGTATGTTCTGTAATTATGCCAAATTCTCTTATGAAAGATTTCTAGCAGATGATATTGCTTCAGCTATAAACTGCAGACTTCTCAGATTTTGCCTTATCTCTCTCCCTTCTGGTACTCTGTCCCCTGCACTCTATGTGTACACACAAAACTCGCATTTGTTAAAAAAAAATCATTTTTACAGTGCCCTTTCAAACTCGGCCTCCTTTCATATTGGTTGCTGCTGAACATTTGAGTCATATAAAATCAATCTATCTATCTGTACTGTTTGAGCAACCCAGTGTCAATCCAGAAAAGTGTGCAGTCTCAAGGCTCAGTCTCTAAGTGGTTCAGATTTCCATGCATTTGCTATCATTAACAGCTGAAATGCAAATGAAACCCACTGGCTAGTTATACAATAATCTTTAGATTTATAAACAGTTAAAGATATATTCTCTCTTAGAGTTATAGGAAACAAATCTGCAAAGACACCAAATCCTTTTATGTTTTCAAATAGATCTATAGAAGATGTATATCTGAATAACAAACAATATCCCTTTAATGTCTACTTATAACTGAAATGAGAATGATAATAGAGTATTTTCAGGACAGCAGTAAGCTATTGGTAGCAGCAAGAACACAAGAAAATCCAATTCTCTCATGAAATTCATCTTGGCCTAAAGCTGTATTTCTCCACCCGGAGGTTGTGACAGGCAAGTTTTCCAGAATGACCACTATTCACACCTCACAATTAGGGTGGATATAGATTAAGAGAACAGGGATTACTCACTGTTATACCTTATGAATAATAAAAATGCTCCCTTTGGGTTGTGATCAACATTCTCATGGACTTATGCAGCCTGATAAGGGAATCAATAAGAATTTCTCTGATGGGACTCGTTTAAAAGTACCAGGCATGACCAAACTGAATTCTTATGGCTCATGAAATTGATAAAGTCTGTTAAAAAGTTTCTAGCATTTTATTCCTAAAGGTATTTCTACTCCTAGTGCTATACTTATATTCACAATAATTAAACACAATAACAATTCTGAATAATTATGCTCCTTATATAAACAGC